GAGAATCCAAAAATGCAATAATATATAGGGTATTTCATTTAGAAAAACACAACTTTGATACTTTTAGGGCTTTTGGGACACTCTGTACATTACAAAGATATTTTTAAAATGTGCATCCGATAGGCGTCTGTGGATTCATCAAATAATACTTTGCAAAAAACAAACGGGCTAGCTGCAAACGTCCATGCCGTATAGCGTGAATAACCCTGTATAGGGAGATAACAGGATTTTTTGCACTACTTAAAGAAAAGCTGATGGTTCCATTCAACTCAGCAGGCCAAAATACTTAAGAAAAATTAGCAATAAGGAAAATCCAAAATTTTTAACGGTTTTTGGAAGGATACTCAAATTAACACGTTTTTTTCATATAAAATCAACTTGCGGTTCTTTGAAGCACGTGATAAATCGATTTTGAAAGTCCAATTCCTTTTTGCTCAGAGTATCTAGAGTCTATAGAAGATATTTTCACTCCCAAAGAAAAACATTGAGGTCCGGTCAAGTGCTCATGTACTTGTCCCTCGAGACTAGGCATGTCAAGAGCACAACACTGTGTTGAGTTGCGCTGTTAAGTTGATGCCGCTCTGTGAGTTAATGAGTTATAACTCAGCGCGTCTCACACATTAACGCTTCACGAAGCCCGGGACTAGAATTTATCACCTAATGCCATTCCGCCAGCCCTGCGCCAATCCTTGCAAATGAACTGAGTTGCCCATGCCTACTCCAGGCAATGTTTTAAATGCGTTAAACTAATCTGGCTTTTTACATAAAGTTTTTCTCTGCTCTTTTGAAACAGCTGCACGCTTTTGTGCACAGTCATACTCACTCTCCACGAGCCGCCACTGTATAGGGAGAATCATTTTATATTAGCCGATCAAAGTCCACTTTTTTTCACAAATGGAGCCTTTGGTGTCACTTTCTTAAGCACTTGAATATCTGCGATTTGGCCTAAACTTAGTCTCCGGTTATCGGTATTAAATTTAACTGATTTCCAATCGAGAGATAGAATTGCTCGATGCAATTGCGACCGCATTGGACCGGAAAAAAATTGAAGGAAAAAACTGCGCCGTCTGCATCCGAAACGCGTTTGCCCCCGATAAACGAGAAACGAACTCCCGAGAGGTTTACTCATCAATCCGACAGTGGAGGTGTCAAGTCTCCGTTTAGAGAAACTGAACTCCTGAATAAAAGAGCACCAGTTCGCCAGTGTTAAAAGCCAAGAAGGTAAATTATTAATCCGGGCTGCTTGACCCGCCTGAAGCGCCCTTTCAAATATTTAATTGTTCCGCCACTCACTCGCCTGTGATTTGTTATGTCAAACGCTTAATTTCTCCCGCTACTAACTTTTATTCGCGACATTAACCATTTAGGCGACATCTAAACTGCATCGTGGAACTGCATTTGTCAATCACTTGGCCAGTGACGTGCTCGTTGACACTCCAATGACATGT